TAACTCAAGACATTAGTAAAAATAATAATAATAAATATATTTAGGTACTAATTATCATTTTCTTACTTTAAAGCGTCGCTTGCTATGTCATATAAATAAGTATCTCCTACTAACTCTACTTATAGGTGTGCAAACAAGTCAAATTAAGCTAAACACTTAAAATTTAAACATGACTTGTTAAAAAAAATAATCTTAATTAATTTATTTAAACGAGTCAATTGCAAATTCAAAACTTAAATTTGACTTAGTTAAAAATTAACAATTAGCTTGGCCTTTTTTATTCGGTTAATTTACATATTTGCTAATTTTTTTTATCAAACTTTTTCTTTGAATAAATTTCTGTTTATCAATTTAGTATTTAATTAAAAGATATTTTTTTTAAAATTTAAAGTAAGATAGTAATAGAATATAATTTTCTGGTCATATAAAATGACTTAACATTTAAGATAAAAATTTTAATGGTAAAAATAAAAATTTTCTTGAATAAATATTATAATAATCTATTTAAAATACGAATATTTAAATTAAAAATAATAAATAATACATGTGTATATAAGATAATAATAACTAAAATTTTAAATAAATTTAATAAATTAAATTAAAATTGTTTAACTTATTCAAAAGTTATTAACATTATTTTTAAAATTTTAAACTCAACTCCTTGAAATAATTAAATTTAAGTTTCTTTATCTAACTAAAAAGTAAAATTTAGTGAATTATGTTCAAATAATTCATAAACTTACTCGTTGACAAGCATGAGTAACCAATATTAACTGTCACAATCATGTAGTAGTTCAAGCAACGTTGTCCATAAAGCACTTGAGTAAAAAGCTCCTCGTGCGTTGCAGCACATGATTGAAGATCCATTAATACTATTTTAATTTCTTTTTAAGCTTGCAATTGTCTCACTAGTGTCCTGTGATTAGACCTGCATGCCTATAATTAACAAAGTGCTAATCTATTATTATTCTTAATTAGGATCCCATTTGTTCCCCAATTCGTGTGGTCAACGTTTGCCAAGGAAAGAGGATTGATTAAAAAATTAGGTAAATGTTAATTAGTATTCTTAATATACTGGTCTTATTTGTTTATCAGTCTAAAATATTTATTAATATTTTTTAAAATAAAAAAATAAGCTTTTCTTTTGCAAATGTAGTCTAATATAAATTTTAATAATTTTATAATCAGTGTTTTGAAAACACTTGTTAACAAGATTAAAAATAATGTCACACTAATTATGATACCGGAATTTAAGTTTGAATAATTGTGTTTTGAACTACAGGATGTCACCTAAACATATGGCAAATTAGCAGCTAAAAGAAGATTTGACGTTATAACAAGTTTTTTTTGAGAGTTGAAATTAAAGACATGAGAGGAATGGTTTAGCCTAAATCAATCATAAAATCAAAGAATCTCATTTATATCCCTTATCAATTCACAGTCAAAGTGTTGAGATCTTACAAATTAATTTTTTTTTCTCCTGTTGCGATCTTTGGTAGAGTTGTGCAGATCTGAACAATCTGTTTCGCTCTGTATAATTTGAGCAACTCATCCAAGTAAAATCGGATAATAACGAGTTTTGGGTAAGTATAATATCTTTTTTGAATTAAAATTGTTAAATAAAGTTAGTGAAGGATATAAAATTAGAAGACTATCGGTACTCGAAACTGGCTGAATATATATATATATATATATATATATATATATATATATATATATATATATTTGAATTTGTGAAAATTTAATTTATCAAATATGCATGTGATATGATATGAATATTTAATTTGGGTCAAGTCCAATTCTGTTATTAAATCATTAGGTTTTAATTGACACTGCAACATGTTTTTCTTTTATTATTCTGAATTCTTGAATGTTTAATTTACCAAATATGCATGTGATATGAATATTTAATTTGGGTCAAGCCTAGTTTTTTTATTAGATCATTAGGTTTTAATTCATGCTGCAACATATCTTTCCTTCATTTCTTTAGTCTGTGCGACAACGATCCTTTGTTTGTTATCTTTGAACTTTGTTAGGGTTTGAAATTTTATCTCTTCTTTGCCTCTTTTTTTTTGTTACCATAGTTTATCTCTTATCAGCATGAGGCTTAAACTGAAGTAACTACCCGATTAATTGAGTTACTCAATAAACCTGAATCTAAGCTATCCGATAAAAAATTGGATAAAATTGAGTATTTTTCTAAACAATTCGATTAAATATAATTAGTTAATTTTAGACTTTAACTCACCCAAAATTGACCGATAATTACTCCTAATCTTTGGTAGATATTTTCAATTGCACGAATAGACATTTTTACTATTTTATGTTTAATCTACGGGGATTCATTGTTTTTTACACAAAGTATATATGGAAAGCATGTTAGTATGAACATGGTACCTTTAATTTCTTCGTGACAATGACACTTCAATATGTTATTAGAGTGGCAAAGGAAAATCCTAAGCATAGTTTAAGTGCATGTTTTATTATTGATCTTTTATAGCTTCTTGCTTAATCGATTTCACTTAATTCACAGGCAGGCCTCTAATTTGTTAACTATAAAATAATTTCTATTTACTTGGTGCATAAAAAATTGTCAAATTTAGATATTTAATAAAAAAAAATTATATATTAATAAAAAATTAAGTTAACCAATAATATAATATATTATTATTTATGTATTACTAGTGTATATTAATGTTTTATTCTAAATTATTTATTAGTATACATAATGTAACATATTATTAATACAAATTATATATATATATATATATATATATATATATATAAGCTAATATTAGTAAATGCTATTTTTCTAGTGCACAATCGTTGAAAGTATGAAAAAACAAAAAATTCACCCAAACAGTGGATTGAAAGGGAAGCTGACAGCTGATAAGACCTTAGGAGGTAGGAATATGGCCTTGCACGTCATTTCCATTGCTCTAGTAAATCTAAAATCAAAATTTTATTCTATCAGACTATATTTTGAAACTTTACTAACTTTAATTATATATATATATATATATATATATATATATTTGTTTGTTTAATAATGACATAATAATTTTGAAATATTTATTATTTAACATTTAATTTTAATAATTTATTATTAAATTTAATGATTGTAATTTATTTATTTCTTATTCTTATAATAAATTTTTCATTTGATACGCACTTTCAAAGTAACCTTGACAAAAAAATATTTTTCTTAATAAACTTTATATATATTAAAATTTTTCAATTCAATTATTAAATAATATAAAATTTATATAAATAAACAACTAATTCAAAAATCATTAGATAACTTTATTTTAACTTCTATTATGCATTTAATTAAAAAATTAATATGAATGATTAATGTGAATATATAATATTATTTAATATTAAAACTTTTAAAATTAAATATGACTTAATTAAATATTTAGTTTTTACAAAAGTTACACAATTTAAATTTAGTCTTTATAAAAATATTTGTTAGAGTATAGTTTTTATTTTTTTTATAAATTATTATTTTTAATTTTTAACTGATATAATTAATTGAAATATTATTTAGTGTCGATTTTAGTTTAACATGTTTTTTAAAGAAACTAAAAATAATAATTAATTAAAAATTACATTCTAATAAAATATTTTATACAAACTCGTTAAAAGGATTAAACATGTCATTAAATATTTATAAAAACTCTTAAGTAGAGTAACTCCTAAAACAGGATCAAGTTACGTTAAGAGTAATTTATGATATTTTTATTTTTTTCTTTATTACTTTAATGTTTTTTATTTATCTTATTATTACTTTTTATAGAATTAATTTCTTTATATTTATCTTTCATAATTAATATGTGTTAGATAAAAAATAATAAATAAGATATCATTTCTTATTGTGATAAATAAAAATATAATAAAGAATAAAATATTTTTCGTAAAATTTAAATTTTTAACTATTTATTTAATTATTGTATCTCAAACATTAAAGGGAGTGTAACTTGTTTGGCCTTTTTTTTTTTTTGGAGGCCAATTTAAAGTATGAAACTGCAAACCAAACTCAGCCCCACCTAAAAAGTCAACAATTAATACAGTAGCTACAATAAACAGTATTTTAGTTGGAGCTATTCTTAGTTATATATTATATAGTATACAAATATCGAGAGAGGATTAAATAATACAATATTAAATTTATTCAATTTTAAAATTAAATAAGACTTCCTTACTTTAGTTTATTTTAGCATTTAGTTGTTATTTAAAATATAAATAAATATTAATTATTAATTATATATTTACGATAAATTATAAAAATTTTATATATAATTACTATGATAATATTATATGAATCAGTATTTATATTAATAAATTTATTTTTAATTTAAAATATTAAGAATCATTTTTCCAAGGTTGATCAGCATCGATAAGTAGTTAGAGAGAGAACAAATAGTTACATTTACTGAAAATAATATCTTTATCATATAAAAAATCATATAACTAAATATAAATAATTAATTTTAAAATATATTTGAAGTCATAAATATTTTAAAAAAATTAAATAACAATAAAAAAGTCAAATAATTCTTATTTTTATGAATCTAAAAATGTATAAGTAAAATATCAAATGCTTTAAAAACAATATCAAATTTTACAAATATAATCTATAAGATAAAAAAAGTGCTAAAATAATTTTTATGATAAAATTATCGAATAAAACATTATCACACAATATAAAAATAAATATAACTCCTAGAAGTAGAAATTTATATCCCTTCCAATGTATATATCCTAAAACTGAAGCAACCAGTTGATGTAACTATCTAAGTGACCGACCACCAAAATCCTGCGTTTACTTTCTCTCAACATCAAAATCAAGTTAAGAACATATAAGCTTATTACTTGCATCTATGAATACTTATGTATCTTCCTCTCTCTGGTAGTGACCCACAAAAATTGGTTGAAACATGAGCAAGTAAAAAGATTAGGTCAGCATCAAGAAGAGAGAAAAGTAGATCAAAGAGGAAATGGATCTTGGAGATGGTAGAAATGGGCCCTGTGGTGCGTGCAAGTTCCTTAGGAGAAAGTGTGTGAAGGGTTGCATATTTGCACCATATTTTGACTCAGGCCAAGGCACTGCTCATTTTGCTGCGGTTCACAAAGTGTTCGGTGCCAGCAATGCCTCTAAGCTACTCACCCGTGTCCCTCCTCACAAGCGTCTTGATGCTGTTGTTACTCTTTGCTATGAGGCTCTTGCTAGGGCTACTGACCCAGTTTATGGTTCTGTTGGTCACATCTTTGCCCTTCAACAACAGGTTTGCATGCCTTTAACTCTTAGTTATATTTATATTTCAGTCATCTCTTTGTTTCTTCTTTCTTTGTTCGTGTTTGCTAACTAGTTGCCAACTTGGGGTTTATTTTGAGGGTTAATTCGTCTCCTGCTTGAGATTTGGGTTATTTGTTGCATTTATGAGAGGAGATGCTAAGATGTTCTAAGTTGATTAATCAGAAATGCAGATAGAACATTTTTTATAACATTTTAACTTTTTTTTTTATGAACTATAGGTTTGAGAAATTAGTGAAGTTTAGTTTTTCAATGGCTATTTAATTTAAATGTTTGGTCATTTAATATAAATGTTCTGTATAAACTTTGTACACCAAACAATTGTAAGTTTATAATACAAACAATCATCATCAAAGGTCTTGCTGACAACTTGAGAAATATACATCTACTGACCACTGAATGCTTTTAATTATTTTGCAAAGTGTATATTAAGTAATCTTTTATATTTCTAGATATAGTAAATATTTTTAATAAATCATTTGTGTTTCTTTAATCAGCATTTTAAGAATTATTTGTTCGTATCTGCTTAAGGTTAATATGACAAAAGTGATGAGAATTGCTGCAAACAAAGTACGTGCCAATTAAGTTGATGACAACGTTGTACGCACTTTGTCTCTAAATCATTCCTCTTGTACTTTTCTTTTGAATAATGACGCTATTGCTAGCGTGCTTGTTTTGAACCTTGATCAATTCATATCATATTTATCCTATAGGAAAAAACTGTTTTTGAACGTTTAAATAGAGATATCTAATGTGTTTTTCTTTTGTGTATTTTAAAATGAGTGTACGTATATGGAAAAAAAAAATTCAAAAAATAGATAAAAGTCGATTAATCACAGATCCTTTTTGTTTGGGTTATTTTAGATAACAAAAATGTATTAGAAAAATCGGCATAATTCAAGGAAAAATTATCAAAATTCAATTGTGTGGTTATTGAATAACTCAAGGGGATGGATCAGTCATGTATTCAATATGCAATACCAAAATTAATTCAAATGAAGAAATATAGGGATTCATGGCCAAATTTAAGGAATCAAGTTAAACACTGTAGAATCTGTACTTTCTAGAGTAGTCGCTTGATAAATATCACTGTTTCGAGTTACTGGTAGAGCACACGACTTTCTTTACATTAATTTGATGTTACAGTATGTTCTGTTTGCTTTGAAATGATTGTCAGCTTTGGTTAGCTTTTATATGGAAGCCATACAATAAACTTCTCATGCCCCTATCACCGTAGGTTTTGTCTTTTGATTTCAAGGTCTAAGGCCCATGAATGCATTATCAAAAGTACTAGCAATGCAGACTTTTAATTACCCTATGTTCTAGATCATTAAATTTACGATAAATTCGGTTCCTGAAATCAATGTGTATTGTGATTTGTGGACATTTGGTTTCTGTGTAAGATAGTGGCAGAATGAGATAGATTATAACTCTACTCGCCAAAATTAGCTGAAAGGGTTGTAATTTATCAATTTTTTTAATCTGTGTAATATTAAAAATTATAGCATTAATAGTATTAATAATATATTAAAGTATACTAAATTCTATAATTTTTAATAAGAATCTATTATGTATAAGTTATTGTTATGTGTTGCATATATTAAAATAATTTGATGATTTACAATTAGCTGACTGAATTACAATTATTTAATAAAATTAATTTCAACTAATTAAAAAAAGAGAGTAAAAGTTGTTTTATGCGAGGAGCAAATTAAGACGGATCTTTGTTGTGACTTGTGGGGGCAAAAGGTATTTAATCTTTATTATTAATGTATGTATTGTTTATATAAATTGTCTAATACTACATTTAATAACACTCAATTAGTTCAATGTGTTTGCCCCCAGTATTTGTTAAATAGGATGATTATAATCATACAAATTACTTCAATGTCTGACCTTAATGTAGGTTGTTCTCACAACTTTTTAAAAAATAAGTTTAAAAAATTTTTGTTTATTAAACGGTTCTATTTATTAAAAAATTATAAATTATAAACTCTTAAATAACTATACAAAATTATAATATGAAAGATGTTCTGAATATGAAAACTGATATTTTCCTCGGCAAAGTTACCAAACACCCAATTAGCAGTTGGAGAAATCTTCAAACACTCGTAACCTTGACTTTCATTCCTTTGTAGACATATTTTATATTACAAATACACAGTTGAGTGTATTAGTTTAATAACCCTAAAAAAACAACGTAGAATAGTAAAAAAATTCAAAATAAGATACCATTTGCAAAATAAGTTAATAAGATATATTCAAATATCTAAATTTTTAAACAATAATATTTTATATGCATAAATATGAAAAAACAGTAATAATATTTATATATTATTATTGTTTTACAGGTTGTGAACTTGCAGGCAGAGTTAGCCTATGTGCATGCTCGTCTTTCCACATTGCATCGGGTGTACGTAGTTCCTCCATTTCCAGAGTCTTGTTCAAGCACCCCAAATAGCAACAATGAGTTGCAAAGTTCATACATATCAATGCATTTTGATAATCCAACATCATTAGATTTAAGCAGCTTTCTGAATCCATCCTATCAACAAGGTGATGAGCAGGAACTCCAAGCTTTGGCTCGAGATTTTGTGTCGAGGTTCTTGCCCGGAATTAATTCTCACTAATTAAGCTCTCTTCTTCCAATGTTGATGCAATACTTGGGTTATAATATTTAATTAACGAAAGTGTGAGTTAGCTTAATCTTGTTAAGCCTTATGCTAATGGTATCAGATAGTTAGACCTAAAGGGGTTTGTAGCATTTACCATGAAGAACATATATATATATATATGCAACTACATGACCAATTCATCTTCTTTATCTACGCTTTTTTTTTTCCAAGAAATTTTCTATATCTCGCCTACTAAAAGCATGCATGCGAACCTAAGGATAAAAGTTATATATATATATATATATATAATTTAATCATGTATTACTATATCAACAAAAGTTTTTAATTTTTGTAATTATTTCAGAAATCATATTTATTTTATATTTTAATCAGTTAATAGAGTAAAAAAATCATATTAATAATATATAAAAAAAAACACTTAGGAATTATTTGATATTTAATTTTTAAAACAGTTATGAAATTAACTTTATAATATATAAATACATTAATTATAAATAAAATTTGATTTAAAATGTTTAAAGGACGTCTTCTTTCTTTTATAAAAAAATTAAATAAAAGTATGATTATATCATATTTTAAAAATAACTATTTAAGAATAAAATTTAAAAATGTTAAGAAATAAACATTTTTGTTCATAAATAAATTAATGATAATTTAATTTTATCACAATATATTTATATGTATATATATATATATATATATATATATATCATAAATTATAATATTTTAAATATACATCTTATAATACTTTTTATTTTATAGTCTTTTATTGTGATTACATGTGGAGGATAAAATTGTTATTAAAATTTTAATTTTTTTTATAATTTCAATTAAATAAAAATCAATATGCATATAGCATAGTTTGATTATATATACAGAAGTTTATAAAAATTTAAACTTTAATTTTTATAAATTATTTTGACATATTTTGACGATCGAGAGAACAAACTATAAAAAATTTAAAAGACTAAAACATGACAATTTTACGTTTAAAATGGCTAAATGATAATTTTCGTACAATTCCAACTTTAATATCTATAATTATTTTTCCAACAATATTATTACCTCCATTGCAGGTAAATATTTAATTGTCTCATTTTAAAATTTGAAAAAGATGCAACTTAAATCATCCCTCCAAATTTAATCATTAAAAGTCACTAAATATAATTAAAAGCATTCAACCATTATTGATTAATGAAAATAAATAAAAAGTTCAACGTTGAAAAAATGAAATGAATAGAATTTCTCATTTTGAAATTCAAATGAATTTAGACAATCATTGTCCATAGATAAAAGTAACGCTCACTCGCCACGTAATCAATACTAACTATTTTTGGATGACGTGTCACAATCTGGTTGGATTCTGAAGCTCGAGAAAACGGCTCGTTTCCCTCCCAAAACTGAATTCGATTCGCACACTTTGCTCCATCCTACTGTCATAAACCCCTCTCTTCTTCACTTTTCAAATCGCATTCCCAATTTCCAAATCCCTAAAAGAATTCCCAATTGTTCTTCTTCGTGTTGAGTCTCTTAAGGTCTGTTTTTTTCTGCATTTTTTTGTTTGTTTCGGAGAAAACAAAGGGAAAGAAAAAAAAAACTCATTTTTAGTTTGAAATAATGGGATTTGAGCATTTTCAAATTTACTGAAAATTTTGATTTTTGGTATTTTGAAGAATAGATGAATATTATAGGATGATAAGAAAAATCGTTCCTTTTGCTGTAGCAAATGACTCCTATTCTATAAGGAAACCTTTATTCACTGATCATGCACTACATCTTCCATCAAAGAGATATATACTTGCTGAACAGAGAAAGTACATGATGACGCTCATACATTACATCATTTGTGCTACCTGCAATAAATTTCAAGTGTGTCATACTTATGTTCATTCTATAATAGAAGCGGGAACCATTGATTTATTGATCATGCATTGCATTTTCTTTGTCATTTTGTTTTGTTTCTGGTTCCCCCCAGAGTTTTAAGCTTAGATTTAATGGGAAATTTCAATGTTTGATTTTATTTAAGTAGGGAAGGGTTTCACAATTTCTTATCATCATTTTGTTTGCAGCGTACTTGTTCCTATGTTGAGCAACCGAAGCAGTCAGTTTTTTCATCAAGAAACAACGTGTGATTTGTTGCTGAAAGAACTACAGGTTGTGAAGAATCACTCTTTTTTATCATGTTCTCTTCCTTCACGATAACTTATTTGTGCTTCTTCTTTTAGAGGACCATATAAATAGATTAACACTTTATTTTTGGTTTGCTTGGTCCTTGGGTGTTGAATGTAAGATAATATGGGATGAACTTGGAGAGTCTGGTTCTCAAAGGGATGCAATGTTGCTGGAAATAGAACAGAAGTGTCTGGAGTTGTATAGAAAAAAAGTGGATGAAGCCAAACAGTGTAGAGCACAAATTCAGCAAGAGATTGCTGATTATGAAGCAGAAATTGCTGGCATTTGTGCGGCTATAGGTGAACACCCGTTTTATGTAAGTGTTGTTGGCACTAAAGAATTTATTGTATTAGCCATTTTCTTGGCCACTGGGAAATCTTATAATTGACAAGCTTGTATCGGTGTGTTCTCAGTTGGAGCCAAAGTCTGGTACAAGCTTGAAGAAAGAACGTGAAACTGTTGTTTCTCAACTTGAGGAGATGCACAAGCTGAAAACAGAAAGGAAGAAACAGTTTTTAGAAGTCTTATGTCAGTTACAGAATATTTCCAGTGAGCTTCATGGCTCTGTGGAGGTTAATGCATATTTAGATGAGAACAACTTGTCTTTGAAAAGACTAGAAGAATTACAGAAGCAGTTACTTCAATTTCAAAATGAAAAGGTAATTTCTGCCTTTACTTTTATTATATTTGTTGCCTGAAATTTTGATAGACAGAAAAGTATATTGTTCATGATGTGTTTAGGAAATGCTCCAATGCAGTGTGACTATTGTTAATGCACGAGTAGATTTAGGTGAAAGAGTCATATTTTGTTTTCTTCCAAACGTATTCTTACCCTAAGAAAGAATAATTTTGAAATGTTAATTTCTGTGTTTTTCTCTTAAATTACTGCAGGCCAGTCGACTGAAGCAGGTATCTGACCAATTGAACACTCTTAACTCGTTGTGCTTGGTCCTTGGTTTGAATTTCAAAGACAAAATTTGTGAGATTTGCCCCACTATGACTAATTCCACTGTGACAAAAGATGTAAGTGACAATACAATTAAGAATTGGACTTCTGAAATACAAAGTTTAAGAGAGGTTAAAATACAGAGAATGCAGAAGGTCAGTGTTCTTGCTCTTGTCCTTCATCCTGTCAAATACCAGTTTTATTTCGAGTGGCCTTTCTCACTTTTTCAAGCTGTATCAGCTTAAAGGTTTTGCAGCTGCACTATTAGAGATGTGGGATTTGATGGATACACCAATTGAGGAACAGCAGAAATTTCACAACGTCACCAGTAAAATTGCTGCTTTGGAATCTGAATTTACTGAGTCTAACATGCTCTCAATTGACTCCATTATCTATGTGAGTTTTTTACTTGTTTGTCTTTGATTATAGCCTTGATTCTGTTTTTCTTTCCTTTCAAATAAATTGTTTCAATTGTATTGTAGTTTGCATTATTTATTTTTAATTAACCGTACGAGTGTTTCTCCTTGCAGGTTGAGAGAGAAGTTAAAAGGCTTCAACTACTTAAATCAACGAAAATGAAAGAACTTGTACTGCGAAAGAAATTGGAGTTGGAGGAAATATGCAGAAAAACACATCTGACTATACAAACAGTTTTTCCAAGCGAACATTCAATTGAATTAGACTCCGGTAAAATTTCCCATAAGTTTTTGAAGATTTCTTAGTTATTCTTCATTTTTTGCATAATGGTCTCACAGTTGGTGCAATCTTACTTCATATCCTTTAAGGAACCAATGCATACGCCAGTCATGAACAATGATATGGCTATTAATTTAAATTTCTTCCTTTCTATCATCTGCTACAGGGGATTGCTGGAAACTTTTTGTTTCTTAATTATTTACCAGTTTGTTGTTGTTTATCAAAATGTGCGATGAATGTCATTATTTGTCCTGTCATCCAATTTGACAATCATTCTGCAGATTCTGTAAACCATGAAAACCTGTTGGAACAAATTGAGCTCCAAATTACCAAGATAAAAGAAGAAGCCCTTGGCAGGAAAGAAATCCTTGAAAAGGTTGAGAAGTGGTTGGCTGCTAGTCAAGAAGAAAGTTGGCTGGAGGAGTACAACAGGGTGAAGCAGTGCTGCTATTGACAATAATGAATATTTCCTTATTTTATTTTTGTCTTGCTTTATTTTTTTATTTACTTTGGTTTTTTTCAGGATGATAATCGTTATAATGCTGGACGAGGTGCACATCTTGCCTTAAAACGTGCTGAGAAGGCTCGTGCTTTATTGAGTAAACTTCCTGGCAAGTATCTCTCTACTCATCATAATTAGTTCTTCAGCAATACTATCATTTTGCAGTGGCTTCCCGCTTTTGCTATTAGGTTCTTGTCTTACAATAAGCTAAAATTTGGGCTAAGAGCCAAATTGGATAAACTTTCTAACAAGTATATTAGGTAAAGAAAATAAGATGAATTAAAAAAGTAAAATGAATGAAACTTTTTTTAAAAATCTACTTTTGGAAAAGATAAGTGCGAGAGCTTCTAAAACTGTTGTTGAGGTGCTTTAAGTTTTAACATTTGGGAGAAATTTAATTATTTTACCTAGATCCATTTGATTTTCTTCTCCTACATGTTGAGAAATTTATTCAAACTGCACTCAGATGTTGGCATATAACATGTTGAAGTCAGCTATTTAATTGTATGTGGTCGTTTGCATATCTTTAACTGTGTAGTTTTTTGAGTATTAATTTAGTGTTCAGTTAAGGAGTACGATGCATCAAGAGCAGTATATAGTGTCTGAATTATGGGCCTCGTCCTCAGTTTCCCCTTTGTTTTAATTTGTATGTTATTGAAACAGGCATGGTAGAGGCAATAATTTTAAAAGTTAAAGCTTGGGAGAAAGAAAGAGGATGCGAGTTTTCGTATGGAGGAGTAAGTTTCTAAACAAAATTATTAATGCAACCTTTTATATTCAGTGTCAAATTTGAAGACTTGTGTTATTTAATAATTTTTTATAAAATATAAAAATAACCAATATAACTATTAAATTATCTGATATTATTTTTATTATCACATGAACTATATTAAATTTCACATAAATTAGATATTTGTAGATATATTGTCTAAAATTTGATATTTACTTATATTTTAAAAATATATTATCATTAAAATAAAATAATGAGATAAAGTATCCATTAATTTTATTCTTAGATGAAATTTTATAAAATTGTTCTACTTAATAATAACCTTCAAATTTTCACAAATGGATTCTTACATTTTATGTATTAGCCTGTTAAATTATATGAAATTTTACTGAGGTAGACTTCCTCTTTGAAATCTAAGTAAGTAGTATTATCACTTTTGGCATGTAAGTTCAATATAATTTACCTGATTCATCTCATATATTTTCTTGCATTTTGTTTTCATGGATGTGTTCAGAGCCGGCTACTTTCCATGCTTGAAGATTACAGCTCCTTGAGGCAGGAGAAAGAGAATGAAAGGCAAAGGCAGAGGGTATGAACTATTAAGTACATTATTGTAATCGAATATGTAACAGATGATGCAGAATACTGAGAGCATGTTTGTTTTTATTTTTTAAAAATTTTTCTCTTTTTAAAAAAAATTATAATTTTTTATTTTTAAAAAGAAAAAAACTCTTATTTAAAATGGAAACAATTCTCTGAGACATTTTGCTTGTTTCTACGCATTATCTATAATTCAATTTCGTTTGCTTCATGCCAATTTTAGGATCAAAAGAGAATTCAGGGGCAGCTGATGGCAGAGCATGAAACACTATTTGGCTCAAAACCCAGCCCGTCTAAAAGTGGGAGAAGAGCTTCCAGATGTTCAACAGGAGTTCCAAGTATCAGAAAATTGTCCATTGGTGGGGCATTGCTTCAGGATCCAAGACAAGCCACTCTTATTCAACAATCTACTAAAAAGGGTAACATTACCAATCAGAAAGGCTCTACCCTTCGCAACAAGAATATTTGCCATTCAACTAAATCCTCAGGTTTTTAATTTTTTTCTCTTGAGCCTATGTATTATCAAGTGAATAATTTTTGTAGAGTTTAAATGCTAATGTCAATGGAAACTTACGCAGGAAAAGGTAACTGTAAAGTTATTGGTCATTCAGTGAAGACTGCATGCAGTGCAGAAAGGGGTGTTGAAATTCAGTCACCATTGACTAGGAAGCCCCTCTCTCCTCTTTCTCCTACACTCCTGTCTAAAGCCAACATATCGAACTTTCTAGAAGACCAAAGAAAATTACAGAATGTAGCAACACAAGCAAAACAGCACAAAAATCAAATGGTAACAGGAACTCCACCTTCCAGGCCATATATAGCTGGTGATGAAGAAAACATGACACCAAAGAATCTTGGACTTCCAGTGCCTCCCACTCCTTTAACTTCAGTCCCTATGTTGACTGCCACTACACCAGATAGTGTGTATTCTGGTTGCACTGCTGCTTCAAGGACTAGTCAATCATTTGAGTATTCATTTGAGGAGGTCAGAGCTGGTTTTACCCTTCCTAAAACCTATGCTCAATGATTCTCAGTTTGGTGAAGAAGTTCAATCAACAAAAACAGCTAGAGTGCTGATCAGTTTTCTGCTTTTCAAAATGCTATAACAAAATTGTTAACTCTGTTGTATTTTGGTTGAAACTTGTCCAATTTTAGAGCACATCATAATGGCTTTCACTGTGATGTGATCCACCGAATTAATACTTTGATTCAATCCAAAATAACAGGTGAATGAGGCTCTCTTTTTTGGGCCACAATGGATAATAGATTGAGCTATTCTTATTTTATATTTTTATTGATCAGCTGTATACCTAACTGAGATTTCTAGATCAGCTACTATTCACATGGTTTACACATGATAATATATATATTTATTACATTTAAGTTATAAAATTATAATGAATATTTTAAATAAATTTTATAATAATTAGTTGCTTAAATTTAATTGAAAAATTAAGATGAACACTTCTCTTATTTTGATTTCATTAATTATATATTTAATAATTTAAAATTAATTTAATAAAAATAATTTTATTTTAAAATGAATAGAACTTCTTGTAAATGCAGCTATATTAAATATTAAAAAAAGTTTCACTGTAATTCTATCGGCCTCCAATAAAATTGCACAAATTGAAAACTATACGCAGTGTAGACTAAAACAAACGCAGGAAAGCTGTTCTTATTATATAAACTTTATTATATGCATACTTCAAATTTTCAATCAATTCGATTGGGACAGTTTTGGTCGATTTCAGTGAGTCCCCAATTTAATTTTGTTTTGGGTTTAAAGTCAGTCCCCAATAAATGTCTTAAAACCAAAACCAACCGCGTTTGACCAATGACCAACATATTTATAGGGCATATTATAAGTGTTATGTGACATATCATATATGTATATATGACATACTACAAATATTTTAATATAACTCAGGTGACCCCCTTCTTATGCTTTATTAGCATTATCATACCTTCCCTTTTCCTGTCGTATAAAGTCCCTTCTCATCTTCTCCATTGTCGGCTCATATGTTTAGTTTTATTAATTTCAACCCTTCAATTTTAATTTAAATATTTTCAGATATATTTTTTATTATATTATATATATTAAAAGTCTTACTATCAGTAACTATTTAATTCAACCCTGGTTGAATGAACATGTTTTATAAAAGTAAAATTACACTTAAGCATGGATTTTTTTTTTTAAATGGTTAAAATTGTGCAATTAATAGGTTTTTCATATGTATAATAGGATTAAAGGGTCTTTGATTGAAGTGTGAATGCATGGGTCCATTATAACAATGTTGGGTTTTGACGCAGCAGAGCATGTGCAGAACAATAACCTTAAAAGAAAGATAGAGTAACCTAGTCTGAGGCAGAGGCAGAGGGTAGGTGACTATTGACTAAATGCCAAAGCAACCTAAGACAAAGGTAACTGCTTGAGCCTATGGCTGAATCCAAAATCCAAGTCGGTCTCATGGGTGTCCTACACGTGGCAGAAGGACAACCACCTTGGACTTTGGTTCTTGGAGTTTTGTAGAATGCTCACACACTACTCAGCACACTTTGTTGAATTTCAACTCATTTCTATTATATACAAAAGCAAAAGGTTCAATTCTTATTCATAAAATCTTATCTTAAATGATTATGTTTGAAATGAATTTTGAAGCATAAAGATTCCATACTCAATTATAAAGATAAGAACATTGAAAATGTCAATTAGTTTTTTTAACTATTAATCTCCCACTCAATTTTTTTAATTTTTGTTTGTAATTGTGGAAAATTATTCTACATTTAATGTTAAGAAGCCTTTGATTTTTCTGACTCAAAATAAAAAATATTTTCAATTATAAACTCTGTGAATATTTTCTAATATTATCAGAAAAAATAATCAAACGTGTTTTCATCTATGACTTGTTCTAAATATATAAAGAATATTTTAAATTTTTTGTAACAAAATTTTAGGTTTTGAAAAGAGAAAGTACACCAAAACAGAATTAAAGAACTTTAGCATCTTTGATGGGATTTCTTAGAAATTGTTTATTATATTTTTATGGCATATTAAAAGAGAGAGAAAAAAAACTATTTTAAGAAACATTTACTTGTAGAATTACTTTTCATTATACCAATAAAAAAATGGATAGAAAAGTTAAAATTACTTTTCGATTGAGGATTAAATAGTCTCTTAATAAATTTTTTGACTTATAATGCTAGATATAATAATATTTTAATTACAAGTTGTTTCTGTATATTCGTGTTTTATATATATATATAGAAATATCTATAACTGCTAATTGTTGTCTAATGTGCGTTGATTCTTATTAACTCTGTTTTTAAAATTTTTTATAATGTTGTTCATCAAATATATAAAATTTTACCTATAGATAAATAATTTTAGAGGTGGAATAAAACTGTGAAAAAAATGTTTTTGCTTTAATAACATTAAAATATAGGGAAAGTATCAGAGGGTTCAAAATGAGACAGAAAATATTATTGGTAAAGAACTTTCTAAAATTTTAAAGAATTTTACCAAATCCTTAGAAGAATGGAGAATAAAAAAACATACAAGTTTATAAAAGAAAATTTAAAAATTAGACAAAATAAGTTACAGTGAGGGTGAAGAATGATTTTTTTTATTCCAGATTATGATATTAAAGATCGATGTAAGATATATATTTATAAATTTTTTAACAAGAAACAACTTCTAATATGAATAGATAAGGAATCAAGGTGAATGAACAAAATTTGACTGTAAAATTCAAGATGGATAACGATAAAGCTTGGTCTTGTGGTGTTTTTATTAAAATCTGAAAAAGAATAGACAAAAATGGTATTATTTCCTTGTTAAGCTGTTTAATAATATTTTAAAAAATAATAGATGAGTTAATAGGAAAAGCATTATGATTCCTCTGTATAAAATCATGTTTATACAACTAAATGAAGTGTGAATCTTACTGATCAATGCCCTTAGGTCCTCAAAGTAAATAAATATGGTGATTTTCTAATTTTATCCCCAAAATTATCATTTTTTTCTAATCTTTATAAAAATATTTTAATGACAAAAAAAAATAATTTTAGAACGAAAGACAGTTAATATTTAAAACTCATTTTAGTATAAAAATCATACTAAATTTTTAGATTGTTGACTTAAATTAAAACAATTTTATATTTTCCTATTTGTATGAAATCAGAGTATGTACTCCAAAGTGCAAATAAAAGATTGGACAATATTTTTTATACTATATAATTTTAGTGATAATAAATTTAAAATTCACATTTAATATTCTAATTAATAATGTATAAAAAATTAAAATTAGGAGTGACAAAATAAACTAATCTATCTTGCCTTATTAAAAGTTCATATAAAAGTGGGTCAATCTATCTCACTCTACTTTTAAGGTGAGTTAAAAGTAAGTTAGTGAGACTACCAACATAAACTTAATATAAAAAAATTAAAAGTTTCATAAAAATAAAAAAATATTTAAATAATATTTGATATAAATAACAACATAAAAATATATTAATAAACAGTTATATTTTATTTTTCATAAAAAATTATAAGTTTGACCATATCGGTTTACATTTTGACTAATTAAAGTGAGACAAACTTGACATATTGATGAGTATAAAACTCTAATTTAGCCTACCATTTTAGGTAAAGTAAATGAGTCAGTTCTTCAAGCCACATTTATTTTACATTATTTATTACAAAAATAATATATTAAAATTAAAATAAGTTGGTAAGGACATCATAGATACTAGTGAAATTTTAAAAAATTTTGTAGTGATGTTATGTTTCAATTTAAATTGATTAAATGATGTATTTTATGTTAATAATTGTAGTGTGTTTGTTCCAATTATTTTTCATTTAAAATTTTTGGAGTTTTATCCCTCAAAGTTATGTTTGACAACACATTTGACACATCACATTCAGAATAACAGGGCCTCAGATATTTTGTACTTTATGTTATGTGGAGATGTGAATTAATTGATAATTGAAAACAAATATGAAATAAATTTCATAGATGAAAATGTGGGTAAGGTAAGGTTTATTATATTTATTTCCCTTTGCTAAAAATAAAAAATGATATTGTCTCTGTTTCACGGGTAAGGTAAGTGTTTCCAAACAGAGGAGCTTTCTGCTACAATCACAAACCCCCACTGTCACGTGCCACTGTACCCTTTCAGATTTCAAGTAATATGCATTAAAGTTATCTTTTTCTCTTTCCTTTTCTTTATTAGATCATGCACCTTTTCTTTATATCATAAATAACCACTAATACCTAATCTCATCTTATTCATTATTGATTTTCTAAAATTATAAATTTCAAAATTCCAGTTTTTAAATTTAATTTATCTTTTTAGCTTTAAATAATAACTTAATTAAAACTCTTATGCATTTGAATTTCCATCTTTAAATTCTAAAAGATGTAACATTTGAAGCTTTCTTGTTATTTTTATTGTGCTGGAAGAATATTCTCAAAAAGAAGTGTTATAAAGGATATCCTGGATGAAAGAGCAAATACAATATTAGAATATTATGTTTAATTAGTCATATTCTTCGAGAATTACACATGCGTTTAAAATTAAAAATTATAATAGCAGAATTTAAAGAGTATTATATGAAAAAAAAATTAATTTAATTATATTTTAATTATTGAAATAGTATTTTTTTTAATAATGTGGAATTTGACCCTGGACATCTAAAGAAAGTGTATTTTGATTTTGAATATTTGTAAAAATATACACAATAGTCTCATAACTAATCTATTGTTATTTACTTAAAGTTTTATTAATTTGTAACAAATTAATTAGATATAAATTTAAATATAAAATATATATCGTTTTAATTTTTAAATTATTACTTTATATATTAAAAAAAAAGAGAGACAAAAAGCAGGTCACCGGCCGCAGAAGGCTGGCCATCCAACACTGACTTGCAGCCTTAAATGGAAAATCAAATTAGTTTGTTAAAAAAAAAAGGGCAAAAGTTTTATTTTTTTCTCAAATATAGAATCCTACCTTTTTTTTTCTTACAAATTTACCATATTAGCCACTGATCTAAAAAAGAATTTTAATTGCCTCTCACGGACCTGAAATTGTTCTTAACTAAATTGTATTTTTGGGGTTTAGCAATTTATTCAAAATAAGGTCTTAAATATTATTATTTACATACTTTATTATCCTTGATTTGTCTTTCTTTTTATTTTCTCCCTGATTATAATTACCAGAGTCTTCTAAATCAAATATCTTAAAGAATCAATTAAGAAAATAATGATATTTTAAATGATAAAAGTTTATTAATAATTTAAATATCGTGTTTTTATGAAAACTTTATTCTTAGTTCTTTAATAACTATCATAGATATACTAATTAACATTTATTATTATAATTATTATTTAATATCATTTTTAAAATAATTTTAAACGTTTAAAATTATAATAAATATTTGTATAAAAATTATGACTTTAAATTATTTTAAATTTTAAAATAAATTTAAAGCCTAATGTTAGCATTATTGTTATTATTATTTTAATGTTGTTGCAGTATTTATTTTGAACTTTACCATTTTTCTCTTTAAAAAATTTCAACTTTCAATTCAAGCAGCTTTGGAAAACCAACCAGCCAACAGGTTTTCTTCTAATCCTGAAATTTGTAAGTTGTTTTATATTTCTAGAGCAAATAGTTTTTCACTTTTTCTGCTCTTTTTTCTTTTTTTTTTTCGTGTTTTTTTTCTTTTAAATTTTCACTTTCTGGGTTGAGTGAGCTAGTTAGGTTTTGGAGGGAGCTGAAAAGAAATTTTAAAACAGTGTTACAGCTTTAGAAGAGTCTTGCTGAAGTGTGTGGAATCTGTGACAGGTCATGATCTTTGCAGTCTGAAGAGTATTAAGAGTTTGATGTTGGTATGTAAAATAAAAAAATATATAGGAGCTTTGTTTTATTTTTATTTTATTTATCTCACTTTTTTGTACAAAATTCTTCCTTGAGTTTCAGCTTTCTGTCTTTTAAAAGTTCAGGTAAATGCTGGGTATGAAGCAGATTTACGCAAAAGGGTGTAATTTATTTTATTTTCTGTTTTGGAAAGGCCTTTGATATTTTTGGATGGCTTTTACTTTGTTTTGAGCTCAGGGCTATGAAATATTTGGAGTAAATGAACCAAAATTTTTATGATGCTTAGTTTAAATTTGTTATCTTGAAACATGTTTTCAAAATTTTTTAAGCCAAGTTTATTTTAATAATATAGCAAATTTTTACTAATTTTTATTATTTTTCTTTTAATGGCTAATATTTTTTTCCCTCGTCCTTTCTGTTAGGAATCGAATTTCTGGTTTCAGTACTTGAAAGTTGAAACAAGTACCCATTTTTTAGATATGGAAACAGAGGATAAAAACTTTGTTAAGAAAACAACTGCATTTTCTTTCTTATGGTTTTCTACTGTGATGCTAAAGTGTTATGATTTTTGCAATTTAATGCAAAGTTAAAGTTTGAAATGGATCTGCTAATTCATCTCAACAACTTCTTGTAAATCCAAAGTTTGTGTCTTTATTTTATTTTTTTCCTAATTTGTGGGAATTCCTTGATGGGTTTTAACTTTGGCTTTCCACTTCTAGCATGCTTAAGAAGGTTCGAATTTTTGGTTTTGCTTAAATGCTCAATGTTTTTTTTTTTTTTTTATAGTGACACTTGTTTTAATGACCCATTTGCTTTCTAAGTACATTCTCTATTGATCTGCGGCATGCAGATGTTGGTTTGATTGTGTAGACTTAGGAGGGGATAGTTTAGTATATGCATGGAAGCAAGAGAAGGTATTAGTTCTGGGGTTACAGTGATAGGGGCAGAAGCTCCTTCAGCTTATCATATGGCACCAAGGAGTGAAGCTCCAAACCAGGGTCCTATTCCTGAAGCAGCTGCTCCCGCTATTGGTGTGTCGCCGGTGAGTGTGGGATTGGATGGAACATCAGTTAAGAAGAAAAGGGGTAGACCAAGGAAATATGGACCAGATGGGTCTGTTACTATGGCATTGTCACCTATGCCAATCTCATCTTCAGCTCCATTTGGTAATGACTTTTCAATTTCATCCGGCAAGCGGGGAAAACCGCGAGGGATGGAGTACAAGATGCCAAAGAAAGTTGGAGTTGATCATCTGGGTAATGAGATTTGATGCTATTAAGCTTAATGTGTCACTGACATGGTTTATTGGATTACTTTTTTTTGTTAATCTTTAACATTTTGGTGGATTTAGTAGGGTGCTTCTGTTTCTATTAGTGAAATGACTTTTCTTCCTTCTTCAACTTTGCTTGCTGTGAAACTTCTAAACTTTGTCCCCTTGAATACCTGTAAAAGCTCTGCTTTTTCATTTGTAAATACCTAAAGAAGTCATCCCTTTGAACTGTTGATTTTTTGAAGTGAGGTAAAACAGTTTAATTGTTAACATTAATGATGTTTCCACGCCTAAAAAGGTGATTTTTGTATTATTAGCAATGGAATGTTGAATAACAATTTAATGTTTATTCTCTAAATAATATTATTTTATCTTGTGTGTTTAACTCATCTACTAACTGTGCTCAACACAGGAAAATATCGGCATGCTAGTTGGTTTTTGTCTAAATATATGACTGCTTTTTATGGACATTATTGATTACTTGAAGTATCAACTAATTTCTGTTAATGTCTATTGTTGTGTTTTTGTAGGTGACTCTGTTGGTACAAATTTTATGCCCCATATCATTACTGTCAATACTGGTGAGGTATGCTTGACAGGGAGGGGTAAAAGATTTGTTTTAGCTTCATTTGGTACATATGAGTTTGCTTTTATCTCTCAAACTATCATGTATTATACCTTTTGAGAGTCTAGAATATATCCATCTTATGGAGGGGGTTGCTCAGTTGCCTGTTGGAGGGTAAACCCTGCAAGTAAGGATAATATGGTTTAAGGAAATATATTTTGGTTGTTTTATCTATTTGTTTAAATGAAGTGCAATGATAACATGGTTTAAATTTCTTGTTTTCCTATTTAATTTTATTGTATATTTTTCTAATCTATAATGGGGACAGTTATATGCAAGTGTTTCATTTTATGTTGATGATATTTGCAAATTAACGATCATTGCTTGATTATTGTGTTTGGCACGAAACACATTTTCCTCATAAAAAATAATTATGCTGTTTTGTTTGTTTATTACAATGAATATTCAGTATGTAACAAGGTAATAAATAAAAGACCTTTGTAGATATCAACTGACTACTGTTCACTGGAATTTGCTTCATTTTTACGCCCATTTTCTCAGTCTTTGTTTTGTTTTAGCTTTTGCTTTTACCATTTTTTAGCTTGATGCATTGTGGTCTTAATACATTGTGTATTTCAACGAGCAAGCATGCAGCTGTTGTTTTGTCAATGGTTGCATGATTATTAACTTGTTTTGTGTATTTGTTCCAGTTAAGTTTGATTAACAAACAATAGTTGTACTTATTTTTATCAATATTTGATTTTTCTGCAGTGAAGTCACCGCAAATTTACCTGTAGTTATTCATAACATATAGTTTGAACAAAAGTTAAAAAGCTCAAATGTTTGTACTTTATTCTCCGTTTGACAAAAGAGAAAAAGCCTCTATTTACATATTCCCTAACCATGCTTTACATCTTGTGATGCTAATTCTTCCTGCTGAAGAAACAATTGAATATTATTTTGCTTTACACTGTTCTTGTTTCAGGACATTACAATGAAGGTTATATCTTTTTCACAACAAGGGCCCCGAGCTATATGCATCCTATCTGCTAACGGTGTAATTTCAAATGTTACACTTCGTCAACCTGATTCTTCTGGGGGAACTTTGACCTATGAGGTGCTGTAGTAAATCATCTCATTATTACATGTTTTATTTTATAATTTTCGAACTTGCCTTTTTCACAATTACTTGTTTGAAGTTTCTGTCTTGTATAAATTAGTTTGAAACATCTGCGTCGCAAAATTGGACTTTGTTCAGTTTTATTTTGCATCACAAACTTAGAAACTTTTCTAAATAAACATATATGGACAAACTTCAACTCTTCATTGTCCCTGTTCCTGGTTCAATGTTTAACCTTTATCCCTCTTTCGTGATGGCCACATTATATTTCTACTGAGATGTTTATGCTCCTTCTATTGTTTGCTTTTGTATGCATTATTAATGATAATGATGTTTTTCATAAATTATTACTTCCTTGAACTCGAAGTAGAATATATAATTTTTGGAGATGCCAATATTCAATAATTATTGGATTATCTGTTGGTACTCATTATGCTGTTGTCAATAGAAATTCCGAGACAAAATCATCACGTACTGATAATGGTAATTTTCATGAAAGAGAATGATGCCAACCTAGGGAAGATTTAGAATAGTAGTACACAAACAAATTGCTTTGCCAATGCAATTATTGTATGTGTTGCTTACAATGAAAAATATTTCACATTTATGTTAAATAAATGAGGGTTAAAAGTCAACATTATATTTCTTTTATATTATTAAAAAAATTGTTACATTTTAAGGAAATAAAGTTGGTAATAAATTCCCTGTCCATATTCTATACCGAATTCTTTCAACTTGATCCCTGTCATACTTCGACTGGAATCCTAAATGTGAAGTTAGATATTGCATGAAACTAGGGGAAAACTTAAACCTGTAATGTTTTTTGGAAACAGGATTTAAATAGTGATTTGATGCACTCTGTCACATTTCTCATAATATTAAAATAGCTGCCCCAGCCAGCGCTGTTGAAAACTTGACCAGAGAGATGAGGGAAACTTGATTTTGAGTCTAGCAGATAATACACTAAATTAGCATGAAACGTGATTAACAGAGGCTTTTGGTGAAAACTTCGATTGTTGTGAAAATAGTCAGATGGGGGGCCAAGATTTCAAAATAAGGATGGAATTGGAAGGACAGAGGTTTTTTAAGTTTGATATACAAGTGCTTAAATTATTCGTGATATGCAGTGATATGTTAGGCCTAAGAAATGGAAGCATCCCTTTATGGTCTTTAAAAAAGTAGGATGTGAGCATCAAGTAGCTTGAGAAGATTCCTAGATTTAGGTTTGCTGTGTAGAGACTACAAATGGATAAAAAGGGCTTGGTTTGTCTGCAACTGACAGAAACAAAATTTTGGCTGTGGAATTGTCTTTGGTGGTACCTTATGGTAATTTGTAATTTTGTGTAAGTTCATCTCTTACATGGAAATTCATGTTTATATCAGTATGAGGTTCCTGATAGGTGCTATAAAATCTTGTGTTTGATATTTTGGATTATCTTTTTCTAGGGCCGTTTTGAGATACTTTCATTGTCTGGATCATTCATGCCTACTGACAATCAAGGAACAAGAAGCAGGTCCGGTGGGATGAGCGTTTCTTTGTCAAGTCCTGATGGTCGTGTGGTAGGTGGTGGAGTCGCCGGTCTTCTTGTAGCTGCCAGTCCTGTGCAGGTAAACATTCCCCATCCTATCCTCCTCGTACTCTCAATGATGCATATGATCATGTTCTGTTTCTTATGAGTTTCAACATGGACTAAGGATAGATTCAAAATAGTCTTCAATAATATCCCATCTTCACAATAATGTTTAAAACTTTGTCTCACATAATTTACCTCTAAAAGGCTGAGAAATGAAAGAGACTAGCTTTCATCCCTTGAATAAAAGACACTAGGGAATTATAACATTGAACAAGTTAGACATAACATAAAACATTACTTCCTCCAATGAAGGATCACTCAAATGCCTTTATGTCCTTGTATATCAGGTGGTGGTAGGAAGTTTTTTACCAAGCAACCAGCAAGATCAAAAACCGAAAAAGCCCAAGTCTGATTATGCACCACCGGCTACTGTTACCCCCGCTGTTGCAGTGTCTTCTGTTCCACCCCCTACTACTAATGGCGAAAAGGAGGATATCATGGGTGGACATCTGCTGCAAAATTCAACAACCCTTAACTCAAACCTTACTCCTCCCTCGGCCTTTCGCAGAGATAACTGGGTTAACATGCACTCTATGCCAGATGCAATGAAGTCTGCTACTGATATTAACATATCTTTGCCTGATAGTTAAGTTGATCAACGTGGAATCGCGTATCCTCTAGTCTTGCTGACAACATTCATGACTGAGCTATTTATTTGATGTTTCTAGTGTTTGTTCTCTATCATGATGTAGATTATTTCAAACCTATTGTCTATTGTCTATGACCACAGGATGAAGTAGTTGATTAGTGTTTTAAGTTGCAGCTAGGTTTCTACATTTTTCTTTGCCTACTAGATCATCTGATTCCTGGCTGATTTGGTAGATGCTGCAATATGCTGTATTATGAGTAGGCTAATTCGGATGTAATGAAAAATTGTTGAAGCTTTTATGTCTAAATCTAGCCATTTGCGTTTGATATTGTTCATTGTTTTTATACACTCATTTGTTATTATGCAATGAGTATAATCTTGAAATTTTCACTGAATCTTGCTCTTGCTTTTTAATGAGTTTAGTATTATTTACTTAAAAATTCTTGTTTTGGTTTACAAGAATGCACAAATTTTGGTAGATGAATGGTTGGCATACAAGATCCACCAAATAACTTTTGGTTGAACTATGGTTCTCATAATACTAATTTTTAATATTTGTATTTATATTCTCATTTAAATTTCAATCTTTATAATTTCTATTCTTCAAGATACGTTACTCCTTTCTTTTCATGCATACTTGATGCTTACATTTTTATGAATTGAAGTATTTATTCTTGAGAGGGTAAATACCAAAATAAATTAGGATAGATATTTGAAAAGATTACGAAAATCAAGTGAAATTAGTGTTTAAAACCAAAAGCTTTATTCAAGGTAAGTTGGAAGAAGCCCTATATGACTTTGTGTGGATGAACTTAATTTTACTATCTTATAAAACAAACTAAGCTTTTTTAAAAGAAAAATATGTTCCACAAAATTTAAATAAACCAAAACCCAAATCGTCGTCAACGTGATGATGACTTTCAATTATGTAGTAAAATATGGGTGTTGTAATGGAAATTCTTCCGATTTCTTGTGAAAGTATTGGTATCTTTTAACAATTAGTAGCTAATATTTTTATTCAAGGGTCTCAATTACTTGAAATATAAAAATAGTTAATGTGTATTATTTATATTTTAATTTGAAAAGCAATGGGACACCTTTATATAAATAAAGGGGTAACAGGAATATTTCTTTTAATGCAAAATTTTGATACATAATTCTTAAAGGTGTAAAAAGTAAAAATAAAAGCATTAACGTTCAAATTAAAATGCTGTATCATGCCTTAAAAGCAATAAAGAAAAGATTTGTGTTCAAATGCTTGCTAGGATTCAAAGAATCATGACGTGGATAGCAATCCATCTATGTTTGCTCTCCAAAATCAGTAATAATAGAATAGAGGTTGCTTTTGTCTCCCCTTAAAAAGTTATCAAGCTTAACTTTAAGAAACGTTAATAACACATTTTCTTAAAAAATATATTATTAGTTAAAATTTATTAAAAATTATAAAAACATGTATTTTTATTTTGTAATTTTTATTTTAAATAAATTTTAATTATTAATAAAAATATATTAAAATATATTTTTAATATTTCTTTTAGCTAAAAGAAGGCACCCTAAGATACTCTTTTCAGAAGAATAAATGTTACATAGGTCAAATGCTTTGATTGTCACCTACTCCCTACGAAGAAATTCGGCCTTAATAAAGTGAAAAATGCATTATTGTTTCAACTTAATTATATTTTGATCTTTTATAATAATTTCTATTCAATTTTTTTAATTTTAACTATTACAATCAAATCTTTCAACTCTTTGCTATAATTAGATCCTTTAATTAATTTTTTTATCTCTCCAAAATTCTCATTTTCATTTTTTCATAAAATATTCACAAATTAAACCCATTAAATTGTTTTAAACATTCTTCAGTTCAGAATTTGTAAATCAAAACATCATATCTCACCTCCCAATTAAAAAAAAAAAAACCTGAATTTCTCCCTCTTCAAAATATTAACCTCTTACCTTACTAAAATAATTTTTCATCTTGAATTTGTCCTAAGTCTTTAATTATTTAAATAATATAAAAATTTAATAGTTTTTTTAAAAGGTTACAATAGAACTCGGTGAAAATAATTAGAAAATGAAGTTGAGTTCGAATTTTCATAAAATAAAACCACACATTAAATACTATAAATTGGAAAAGAAAATACAATTAACTCATTATTGAGTAACTGATACTAGTTGTAAATGCAAACTAATAGATGAAAATTTCTTTTATTCATCATTTTAAATGTTACACACAATCTTATTAAGAAAAAAGAAAAAATTAACACACGATTTTGGACCTTTGATTTTGAATTGTGAAGTTTATGTACTTAAAATTTATATCCATTGATCTTTTTGTCTTTTTTTTTTTTTTAATGTCGTGATTTGATTTTGTTGTGTCTACCATCCATTCAGCGACATTATATAATAAGTGAAACTAAAAAGGTCTTGTGGTAATAAATAGGATTCCTATTTTTGGCCCAAAGTTAGTTGTCAGGGTAGAAAGGAAGGCTATTTTAGGTAAAGAATAAGAATGGTAGAAAATTGGTTGTGAAACTGCCACACAAGAGTTATAAAAGAGACCCTCTTGTACATTGTGAATAATTTTGAATCATTAATTGAAGTTTTCCCCTCTTTTTGCTTAAGTGCAGAGAGTGAGTTGTGAGAGAAAGTCTTACTCCTTGTTACGGTTTCTGTCATTCATAATTGAATCATTACATTTGGTATCAGATAGCTAGGAACGATGGTGACCAACAAAGAATTAGAAACAAGAATGGATTCTTACGAAAAGAACCTCGCTGATCAACAAGAATCAATGCAATGATCATTGGAGACGATGCAAAAGATGATTGAGGGTTTGGTGGCATCAATGGCGGCATTACCTGTGCGACGAACAGACAATTAGGAAGAAGATGAAGTCGTTTACAGCCACAACCCAGACACGACTCCTTCAATCATTGAATGGGCCCAAATTCCATTTCCAACATCCGATGGGACCAATTTTCGCAAATGGAAAGCAAAGGCAAAACAATTTTTTGAAATTGAAGGTACGCCTGAAGAATAAAGAAGTCGTTTATTACTTCTATCAATGGATGGAAAAGCCTTTGCATAGCAAAGGCATTACATGAAGAATCTCAAGAACAAAGACAAAAAATGGCAACAAATTCTCCAGGATACTGGAGGCAGGTTTGATACGGGTGCGTTTGATGATCCTGTTGTGAAAATAGCAAGGTTGAAACAAGAAGGTCCTTTGTTTGAATATCTTGAAAAATATGATACCTTGTTGGCTCGTGTATCAATCTCTGAAGAATTAGCTTTGAGCTTCTTCTTATCGGGATTGAACATTGAGTTGGAAAAATTTGTGCGTATGCATAGACCCTTAACTGTACAAGAGGCAATCAGGATCACAAGATTGCAAGATGAGGTGCTTCAAGAAATGTCAAAGAATTTTCTCCAAGAAAGACGGTTTCTGCTTCCCCATCTAACACATTTAGCCGTTCTTGGTCAAACCAATATCAGCCAGTCAGAAATCATCCAATAACAACCCTCCAACAATCTCAGCCACAAAGTACAGTTTCAGCAACAAATGGAACCGAATCAAATATAACTGTTAATAATTCTTTCTTTAGAAAGCAAACAAGTGATAGAATTTCTAAGGGTTTGTGTCGATTTTATGGTGAAAAATAGGAGAGGGATCATAGGCAACGATGTAAAGTGTGGGGAAAATTAAATGCCATCTTTAGTGCCCAGGATCAAGAGGTAGCGGAGGATCAATCTGAATTGGAAGGAGATCATGTCACAGAACTGGTTGAACATAGTTTAACTATAATTCAAGATGCTGATGTCCACATTTCACTGAATACGTTACAAGGAATAGCTGGGGGTAATACTCTTCAAATGAAGGGCTTCATTAAGAAACAAGCAGTACCATTCCTAATAGATACTCGGAGCACACACAATTTTATCAGTTCCAATTGGGTCAAGACATTGGGATTGAAGGCTCAAAGTGTCAAGAACTTCCCTGTGATGGTAGCATCGGATAAGCAACTGATGATTACAAGAAAATGCAGTCAAGTGGAATGGAGGTTTGGCGATCATAGGTTTCAGGCAGACTTTTTGGTATTACCTAGTGGAAGCTTTAGAGTGATACTTGGGATGCAGTGGTTTAAAACTCTGGGAGAAATATGCTGGAATTATGCCAAACTAACAATGAAGTTTGAGCATCAAGGGAAATAAGTGTATTTACAAGGAGAATCACTAGCAGTGGATATTGGTGAATGTACAGGTAAATTGAAAAGAGCTCAGTGTCAAGCATTATTACTTGCTGTGCAAGGACCAATTTGTTACAATGTGAGCCCTGCATCTAATACAATGGTACTGACAGCAGATCAACAAATGAAGTTGCAGCAACTTCTGAATGGTTATCAGCACTTGTTCTTGGAACCTACAACATTAGCCCCCAAGAGAAGGTATGATCATAAAATATCCTTGCTCAGTGATACACCTTTCTGTTTAAAACCATATAGATATCCACATGCACAAAAAGAAGAGATTGAAAGGCAGGTGAAAGCTTTGTTGCACACGAGATTCATAAGAGAAAGTGGAAGTTGTTATGCTTCACCACTGGTTTTGGTTAAGAAAAAAGATGGTTCTTGGAGGTGCTGCACAGATTTTAGGAAACTAAATGCAATTACAGTTAAAAATAAGTTTCCAATGCCTTTGATTGAGGATTTATTAGATGAATTACATGAGGCTAGATACTTTTCAAAGCTGGATCTCAGAAGTGGATATAATCAGGTGAGAATGGCTGAGGAAGACATATACAAAACAACTTTCAGAACACACAATGGACATTATGAATGGGTGGTTTTATCATTTGGTTTATGTAATCTCCTGCAACCTTTAAGAATTTAATGAATGATCTTTTCAGAGAGTACCTACGAAAATTTATTTTGGTATTTTTTGATAATATCATGGTTTATTCCAAGACATGGTCAGAACACTTAGCTTGCTTGAATACTACTTTACAGATATTACAGGACAATAGTCTGGCTCTAAACTTTAAGAAGTGCAGCTTTGGACAAACAAAGATAGACTACTTGGGACATTTGATCTCAGTTCAGGGAGTACAACCTGATCCAGACAAAGTTATAGCAGTAAAAGAATGGCCTACACCTGGTTCAGTAAAGGAATTAAGAGGGTTTCTAGGTCTTTCTGGTTACTACAGAAGGTTCATCCACAATTATGAAAAAATAGCTCAGCCCCTAACAATGTTGCTTCAGAAGGATGCCGAATTTAAGTGGACAACAACAGCTGATGAAGCTTTCAACAGGTTAAAATTAGCTTTAACATCAGCACCAGTCTTGTCTTTACCTGATTTTGATCAAACCTTCACAATAGAGACTGATGCTTTAGGTGTGGGAATTGGAGCAGTGCTTCTTCAACATGGTCACCTTATTGCTTACATAAGCAAGGCTATGGGACCAAAGTATCAATTGCTGTCAGCATACAAAAAGGAGTTTTATGCAATCTTGTTTGCAGTAAAAAAGTGGCAACACTACTTTCTGGGTCAACATTTTATAATCAAAACAGATCAGAAAGCATTGAAGCATATGTTGGAACAACCACCTACAACATTAATGCAAAATTGGGGACTAGAAAAACTGATGGGACTGGATTTCAGCATCGAATATAAGAAAGGAAAAGAGAATATAGTAGCTGATGCTTTATCCAGGAAGCAACCTAAGGGGAGCATTGCAGCCATATACAAAGTAACTTCTCAGTTGGTTAGTGAGGCAAAGGATTCTTGGAAGAGTGATAACAAGCTTAGAAAAGTGGTGGATAAGATGAGACTAACTCAAGCTCCTTACAAGTAATATTCTTTTGATGGCTGCATACTAAGGAGAAGAGGCAAGATGGTGATAGGGACTGATCCTACAATCAGAAGACAAATCCTGCAGCATTTTCACAATACAGAAGTGGGAGGACACTCAGGTGATGATCTGACTTACAAATGAATCAAGGAGCATTTTTATTGGAAGGGATTGCAAAAAGATGTAAAGAGATGGGTTCAAGAATGTGTCTTGTCAGAAAAACAAACCACTCTTACAGGCACCTGCTGGCTTATTACACCCTTTAAACATCCCTGATAAAGCTTGGAAATCCATTTCAATGGATTTTATCACTGGTCTACCGAAGTCTAATGGCCATTCAGTTATTTTTGTAGTTTGTGACCGGTACACAAAGTATGCACACTTTGTAGCCCTCGCTCTTTTGGAGCAGCTAAAGTGAGCCAAGTTTTCTATGAAACTGTTATAAAACTACATGGATGGCCAGATGAAATCATATCTGACAGGAATAGCATCTTTATGAGTAAATTTTGGACAGAGTTGATGAAAAAGAATCAAGTGAAGTTGCTGAAATCAACTGCATTTCATCCTCAAACGGATGGACAAATAGAGGCAATCAATAAAGCCTTGGAAGCTTATCTGAGATGTGTTACTGGAGAAGTTCCAAAGAGGTGGTCCGAACATTTAGCATCAACAGAATTATGGTACAATACGAAGTTCCACACTACAATTAAGCTCACACAATTTGAAGCCCTATATGGATACCCTCCACCAATGCCTTCAGTCATAATAAGTGATGACAGCAGTATAGAGGCAGTAGAATACATTCTAAAAACAAGGGAACAGATAACCAAGACATTGCAAGAGAAACTGTTTAAAGCACAAGAAAGAATGAAAGGGTACGCAGATAAGAAAAGAATTGACAGGGCAAGGAGATTGGGTTTATCTGAAATTACAACCTTACAAACAGCAGAGTGTTACAAATACTCATTTTCATAAACTGGCAGCCAGATTTTATGGTCCTTTCAAAATACTAGAACGTATTGGTCAGGTTGCATACAAGTTAGCATTACCTGTTGGGAGTAAAATTCATGATGTGTTTCATGTGTCTTTGTTGAAGAAACACCATGGAGAGCATCCAGTGTCACAAGAACTTCCTCTATATGATGAAGAAGAAGAATTCCAGCTGCAACCTTTGGCTGTTTTGGATAGGAGGATGAAAAAGAAGGGGGGTAGAGCAATAACTGAAGTGCTGGTACAATGGACTCACACGAATCCTGAAGATGCTAAATGGAAAGCGTTGTATAAAATGCAGCAGCAGTTTCCTAATTTTGCTTGGATTACTACACGAACTTGAGGTCAAGTCCTTATTTGAAAGGGGGGACAAATGTAATAAGTGAAACTAAAAGGGTCTTATGGTAATAAATAGGATTCCTATTTTTAGCCAAAAGTTAGTTGTCAGGGTAGAAAGGAAGGCTATTTTAGGAAAATAATAAGAATGACAAAAAATTGGTTGTGAAACTGCCACACAAGAGTTATAAAAGAGACCCTCTTGTACATTGTGAATAATTTTGAATCATTAATTGAAGTTTTCCCCTCTTTTTGCTTGAGTGCAGAGAGTGAGTTGTGAGAGAAAATCTTACTCCTTGTTATAGTTTCTTTCATTCATAATTGAATCATTACACATTAATAGAGGAAGAAAATATGTGCGTATTGCTGTGTCTCACATTACCCACTGATTCATTGCATATACAAGTAATAATTTCATTGTATAAATAAATTAATCTAAAACAAATTCTAATTTTTTTAAAAGCCAATTATTACTTTGGGATTTATAACAGGATGGTAAACTTGGGTAACAAGTTATAGTGAAATAAAGAAAATAAAAAGTTTTAAGGCTATGATTAAGGAATCAATATATTAAAAACTTCTATTAAAAATCACATTGAATGTATATTAAAAAGGATAATAATAATTATTAATATTTTTAAAAAATTATAGTTTTAATTTTAATTAATATCCTAAGTTACTAATTAATATCCATTGCAAGTTGTAATGTTTGTCATCAAGTTTTAGGTGTTTTGATTTTACGTTTAAATAACTATGAATTTATATTTATTTTAATATTATTAATTATAATTTATACGTTTAATTCATATTTATAAATATTTTAACATGTTTTTAAACACACGAGATTTTCCCCTTACAGAGATGTTCTAAATTTGCTGTTCTACAAAAGACAACCAAATGATGTTTGCCTTGAGAACATATTGTAATGTGACAAATGATGGCAAAGAAAAATTACATTTATTATTTTAAATTTTAAGAGAGTTAATAAAATTAATTTAATAATTGTGATGTGAAAAAAGAAAAACAGTAGGTATTAGAATTCAATTAGATATTTATGTAAGAGTTTTAAAAATTAATCTCATTATAAACTTAAACATTTGTTATGAAAAACAAAAACTAATAAAGATTTAACAATTTATCAAGGCACATACGTTTCGATAAGGGATTAGGACCCCACGGTAACTCTCACAAATTAGGTTCAAACCAAAATGTTAATATCACTCATTGATGATAAGGAGCATTCGTAATTGATTTTGAATCAATTGTGAAAAAATTGAAATAATCCATTTGATTATAAATAAAGCATGTAATTTAATTTAAATCAATTGAGAATGATTTCAAAATTAAATCAATCTTTTGCAATTTAAATCAATTTAGTTTATGTTTTACTCTATTTATTTTATTTTTTTAAGGAACACATCTTTAATATTTTAATCAATACAAACTCTTTTAGTGGCTAATTTTTATTGAAGAGACAACGCTTAATAAAAAAAAGTAAAATTAATAAACATGAAGAATAAATCAGTAAAAAGTACTCAATTTGAGCATAAATTATAATTTACTTTAAATTACCAATCACAAATTAAAATAATCTCAAGTTTTTCTTTAAAAAAATACAAATATATTTAATAAAACATTTTATATTAGTAGTTATATAAAGATCAAATAAAAAAAATCATATCGAATTAGTATATTTGCAATTCGGTTTAGTTTAATTTTCAATTCTCGTATTCAAACTGCAAAAAAAAAGCAAGACTTTTTTTCAGGTAATAATTTATGTAATTTTCAATTTTTTAATTGATTGAGCAGTTTAAAATGGTGGTTGAACACCCCTAGTTGCTGCTGCTACTACTCTTAGGGTTGCATGGAGAGGGAGCAAATAAGACAGTAAATATGCATATTACACAAAAGAAGTTTACATTTGTACCTAAACCATTACCAATTAACTTTTTTGATGCCTAAAGCACTCTTAATTCACAGAAAGAATCCAAAACTTCACTTAGAGAATCACACCTTCTCAAGCTCAGTTTTCTGTCTTTTTTGCTTAAGCACCAATATGGATTGTCACACATGTCCTCCTCTCTAAGGAGCTCAGCTCATCATGGATGGCTCTCACATGGTTCTTGCCCATTTGAATAAAGTACCAATATGGACTTGCCCAATATGTATCAGCCTGTAACTTTTCTGATATTTTCAATAATTTAATGAGCTGATTGATATATTTATACAAAGAATAACATAACCCTCAAACAAAAAAGTAACAGAAACTTACAGCAGGCGTTGAAGGTCCAATTAATGCACATCCTCGGTAAGGGTCCATACCAAGCTAAAAACACATTCAGATATGAGAACAGTCACCCACTTTTCCTTTGAAATAGTATAGGATAGTTTACAAAAGAATGCATTTCTAATCATAATACCTTACTATAGAAGCGACAAATACCAGAACAAGATATGCAACTTTGCACAGCCGCTTCTTTTTCTCCCAACTCAACTTATTATAGATTTCAGTAACATCTGCTAATTGCTCTCTTTTAATGCACCTGATATTAGCTTTCAAGTCAATTGAGGAGTAGCAATATGCTAGAAATAATGTGCATAGGTAATAACAGCACATACTTTAGAGGGAAATGCTTTCAGGGTTCCATTTATTATCTCATACAGGATTACACGGCTGCACATATTCATTTTAATGCAAAGATTTTTTTTATCAGCCAAACAAATTAATTGCAAAGTGAGTCCAAGGGGTACTCAAGCCCTTACAAAAGGTGTCTATGTTTTGACTTACAAGATATTTGAAATTTTGAATTCAAATTGCAATCTAATTATTCATACCTTTTGAATGTCAATTGCATGCTCAAGACATTCTTTAGGATGAGTTAATAATTTTATTATAGTGGCCTATATAACTTATAGCATGACTCTAATTAATGATTTAATGTGATGGTAGTTAAATATAAAATATAGAGTCATCAAGGATGTAATTATAAATACAATTATAAGGAAACCCTCTCCTCTCTCTTCATATAAATAAAAGAACGGTTATCAAATAGAGGTTACTTGGTTCTCTAATTTTCACTCTCACGGTCTCTGAGTGAGACCAGAGTAAACACAAGACAAGAATTTTCTCTCAACCATCCGAGAGGAACTGAAAGAAGAAGGAAGAGTTGAAAAAAATACCAAGGAATCAACGACATCAAAGAGAGAGATAACATCAAGAAATAATGAATTCAGGTTAGCGCTATCTAAACTCTTAATTGTATGAGAACTATATATTATATTGTGAGAGCAACGTAATTTAAGATCTCTAAGAAAAAAAGTAATTTCATAATAGTCATTGCATAATAAAAATTACATAATGGATTAAAGAAAATTCTAACAGAAATATACATTCATTCCATTATATTGAGTTTTGCTCCAAGAAACCAACTTTTTGAAACCCTAAATTAACATAAATGCTTCCAATAAGAAGTGAGAAGTCAACTGAAACATTCAACAATTTAAAATTAACAACTGCACAATTATATTGAAAACCTTTATGTTATGTGGAATTAAAAGGCAATTTTATTTTTAATAAAACTGATTCAATTTCATTTAAATGCTGCTATCCATGCCTTTCACAATGCTCCAATTTTAATTTCAACTTTCATGTGAAAGAATCAAAAAGAAGAATCATTTTGTCTTTTTACCAAGCTTTATGGTCTATAACATCTGCAAGAATGAAATAAGATCTGCTCCTTTGCTTTTAACACAATAAAATAAAACACTATTTTGAGAAGGAAAGGAAAAACGCTTACAATGTCACATTGTAATACAGGCAAGGGAGAGATATCAAGAATATAACCCAATGTCCTGCTATAAGATTGATGAGGCAGAAGATTCCTTGGATGATAAACTCTGGCAAGATAACCTGGTTTATCCGAAATGTTGAATCATACGGGTTGATATAATCAAACTCCAGGTCCACCAACAATATAAGCTGCAATATAAAAATTCAGGGGATGTCAATTTTGTTTAAGCAGCACTTTTGCTCACTTGATCTTATGGATGCCAAACAACCATTGAGCTGCGTGTTCAAGCTTCAAAGACAGCAACATAATTGCAATCTTAATAGACTAAAAGTTGCTGTTACGACAACATACTTCAAACGGTTTTTCCATCCTATGTCGACACACAATAAGAAACTATGTATGATGTATGACAAGCTTTTGAAAATTACAAGATATCACCAAATCCAATGCATTGATAACTTCTTATACACGTTACAAAAACCATACTTAAAATAAAAATATTTGTTTTAAAACTTCACAGATAAAATTGGAGGTAGGATCGCAGTAAAAATATTTACTACTAGTAATCTAGTACACCACTAACTTTCTGGGATTAATACACACGAAAATGACGAGATTGCAGATAACTCCATCTAGAATCGTGAAATACAACGACATAAATGTAGTGTGAGATTCATACCAACGCAGTCCTTAATCATATAAATGGTTTAATTCCAGAAAATTGTTCAAAGAACCATACACAACCATAGGGTTAGCACTTATCACTACAATCTGAGAAGTCTTCCACTCAATTAAAAAAAAATTAAAAGCATGAATATTAAAATAAAATAAGCAATCTTTGCAATTAGAACTGAAATCTCATGCCCAAATAATTTATTTTATCCCCCAAAACAATAAAAAAATAATAATATTTTCCTTCCATTTTTTATTACTTTCTAACTGGAAGCATTTAGAAGCAGAGAAAAAGCAAATAGAATTGAATTGAAATAATGAATATGTTGCTTTGGGGTGATTGAAAAGAGAAGCAGCAATGAACCTGGTAACCGAGGAGACAAAGAAGGGTCAAAATGAGAACAAAGGTTGAGATCCAATACAACACTTCCGCCATAACGCCCACCACTGCATCCCCTCTCTCTCTCTCTCCTGCTTTACTTAAACTGAGTTCCTGCTTTTGGGGAAACAAAATTGTTTTAACCTCATTTCTTGCTCTTTTTTCCCCTTTACATTATCTTTTTATAGCCTTTGTTTCACTTTTTGATGGGGCTTGTGATTATGAATTAGATGTATTTGACTAATCTGTTTCATTTTATTAAAATTAAATTAAGATTAATAGGTTGATTTTTGAGTAATTGGATACAATTGAATTTTGAAATAACATATTTCATTATTTTCGGTTTCATATTTCATTAATTCAACTTGATGTGATTTCAAATTTAATATGAATTTAATAAATAATTTATTATTTAAATATAAACTAAGATTTTTTATATAAAATTTGATCATTTTCTTAATTGATTTTGATAAATGTTAAATTATAAATATCCCATTTTTTTTTTACTTTTTAAATATAAATTCAATTTTCTAATCTAAACCAGCCTGTTTATGGTTGCATCATGTTAGAATGGATTACATTTAAGAAATTGAGAATAACTAACTCAATCTAACATGTTATATTTTTACAACTTAGAGTAATTTTTTTCATTAAATTCGGCCGAACTTAACTCTCCATCATTCATAATTACTATTTTGGGTCACTTGGAAGTTATATTAACATGTTATTAAATAATATAATAAAAAATCAAGTTTAAACTTAAAAAAAAAAAAGTTTCAATGTAGTTTTAATCTTTAAAAAAATTTAAAATTTTTTAGTTAATCATTTTTTAAAATTTTAATTTTTATCTCTTAAAAATTGTTATTTTCATCCGATCTATTTATTAGTAATATCTTAACTTTTTTCGTAATTTATTTATATAAAATTTGAGTAATTCTTATAATTTGATTAACACATAACATAAACAAATTAATAATAACATAATTTTATATTTTTAAATAAAATTTTAGATTATAAAATTAAACTTTTAAGTTTGAGATTTAAAAATATAAATATAAATATCACCTCAACTCTATGACATATTATATTAGATATCAAACAAAGGTAAACATTGCTGTCAAAGAGACTGTGTAAAAAGAACCATCAACAAAACAAATTGTGAAAAGCGTAATTTTTCTCCAAGAACCTTGTATTATCCTAATTTTCTAAATTTTAGAATATAAATAATAATTTATAACAATTCAATTTAATAAGTCAATTTCTTAATTATAACTAGTAATTTAAATATTTTCAAATTTTAAATCAAACAAATAAATTGGTTCTTTGACCAAAACAAGTAATTACAGTATGTGCAAAACTCAAATTTTTTCTTTTAAATATATTTATAATTAAATTGAACAGTAAAAGAATCATAATCTAACTATAATTTTATAATATTACCAAATACATCAATTTCTAGGATAAGGCTTATATTGAATTCAAATAAAATACCATATCAATTAATTGTACTCCAATTACTTCATCACTCTTACACATACCAATAACATATTCAATTCACTTAATTTCAACCCAACAATTTTTTATATAATGTGATCACATTCTATAGTTGCTTCCAGCATTTCATGAGGTCTTACATAATAGGTGAATAGCTGTTGGTTAACCCATGCATATGGATACAACGTATACACTTATAGGGCCCTTTAGTAAAAGTACAGTCAGGAGTGTTAGTCAGGAAACGCGTGTGTGGCCATATAATACACTCGCAACTTTATAAATTGTGCACATTTAGCGAATGTCATCCATCACCTGCGTTTCTCCCAGACTTCCATAGTCAGCTCCCTATTCCACACTCTGAGTGTATTATTGTGGCTATTCACACTAATTCCTTTCTCATCAGTTCATATATTATTTACAGATCAACATGTTACCATACACGTATTGTGGTCATATAATTCAATGTATTACGATACATATATTGTGAATACACTGTCGATGTGTCACAATACCTGTATCATAATCACATCAATTAACGGGTTACAATTCTTCCATTATAAACACACATCTCATAACTCCACAATCTCATCAAATTTCATATTTCTCAAATTCAATTCCATTCAAATATTTTTAAAACAGTACATATACTTTCCATGCAAATTATTCATCATTTGACTCATTTTCAAATATACTTAGTTTTCACTCAAATTCAACAACCACATCATCATACAATTTGCACATATAATCTGACTATCAATCAACAATTTTGCCAGAGATCAGATATCTCTAGACTTAACCCAAATCGAATAACACAATCAATTATATTTCATAATATCTCAAAATAATCAGTTATCATCCATTGAACCTCCAAAATGCAGATGATTCTAATATATTAAAAAACCCTCGTGAGTTATATCCGGACATAAAAATACCTTTAGATGATTATGAAAATTGGTGCAAGTTTAACCCTGATTGTTAAACTTCTTGATAAATCGGCTAGTTTTAGCTATTTGAACCAAAAATTAGGTCATATTTGGGGCAAAAATAGGACCTTAAAAATCCTGGACTTTAATAACGACTTTTTTCTAGTAAAATTTGATAATTCAGAGGATTATAAACATGCCCTTTTTGAAGTGCTTTGGCTAATATTAGATCACTATTTGCTAGTCCAGAGGTGGAGACCTCTATTTAGACATAAAGACTAGGAATTGAAAAAAATTGCGGTCTGGATTTGTATACATGACCTTCCATTAGAGCTCTATAATAATAAGTTTCTGTGGCAAGTAGGAAATTGCCTAGGTTTAATGTTGAAAGTTGATCCACATACATCCCTTGTATCTATAGGAAAGTTTGCTAGAATATATGTAGAAATAGACTTGAGAAGGAACCTTATTCCAGCTTTTAAGATTTTAGGCCAAGAATTTAAAGTAGAGTATGAAGGTCTGCATCTCATCTATTTTAAGTGTGAAAAACATGGACATAGGCAAGAACAACGTACTGAATGTCTTAGTCATAGTCAGGGTGATGCTAATCAGATAGTAATTGCTACTGTTCAAATTCAAAAGGAGGAAGGGGGGATAGAGAATAATGCTAAGGAAGCAAAGGAGTTGAATGTGACTGATCAGGCAAATAATTCTAGGAAAGTTAGGGACTAGTTTGGTCCTTGGATGTTAGCAAAAAAATTCCTTAGGAAGAATTCTAATCTCCCAAACTCAGCTAAAACCTTTGTGACCTATGGTAAGAAAAAAGATGCTCAGATTGGGTCTAGCTTTAATATTCTAGGAAAATCTGATCAGAATCATAGTCAGAATTTTGACTCTAAAAGCCTAAGCAATGTTGATCCTCAAAAAACTAATAAACTAGGGATTAAAGGCCCTATTAGTAAAAAAATGAATAACAAACCTTCTGCTAGTCTTAAAATAAAAGAATTTAGTAAAAAACCAATTAAAATCTAGTCCTCAGTTAGAAATGTGAAAATAGGAATAGAGGAAGAAGAAGGGTAGATACTCTAAGTTATAAACATGAGGTTCAGGAGAGTAATAATGATAAAGAAAGTAGGAACACCCTCCTATTAATGACATTTTTCAAGATAACCTCCAAAAGTATCCTAACCTAGGGCATTCTATATAGGACCTTATAGGTTTGAATCCAGCAAGAATTTGAAATGATCATGAAAAACTAAAACATATTCCTACTTATTGACCCCCAGATATCTCTTTACCTATGGATCTGGATAAAGTTCAAAATGTGGAAGTAAACTTGATTAACAATTATTTGCCTCTTGTTTGTCATAAGGAGTTATCTCAGCATCTTATTGATGCAAAAGACCTTAAACAATAACCTAATAAACTGTCTTTTTTAGAATTATAAGGGTGCAAGTGGTAAAACCTTTCATAGACATATAAAGGCTTAATTAGAATGCACCATCTAGATTTTATTACCTTTTTGAGCCCAGAATCAATTCCATCAAAGTTGATATGGTTATTAGGAAAATAAACTTGGATGGATCTATCAAGATGTTAGAGGGTTTGCTAGAGGAATTTGGTGTTGCTGGAACACCGAAAAAGTTAAAGTTAAAATAATAGCTACTAATAAATATTTTATTCATCTAAATATTAACAATGGGCAGTGGGATTAGATTTTGTCATCTATATATGCTAGTCCTTAAGAACATCTAAGAGCTGAGTGTTGGAAAATGTTAACTGAATTTAGTAGCACAATTAATAAATCCTGGTGTCTTGTTGGAGATTTCAACTCTGTTCTCTACCGGCATGAAAAAACTGGGGGTAGGTTAACTAATCTTAGTCTTATCTAGCAATTTACTGAATCCCTGGATACTTGTGGCTTGCAGGATCTGGGTTTCAAACAGAAAGGAAATCTTAGGAAAAGAATTGATAGGGTTGTTGTTTCTGACTCTTGAAGGATGCTTTTTCCTAATAGCTCTCTTATCCACCTTCCACTCTTAAAATCTGATCATAATAGACTTTGACTTAAAATTAGGAATCAGTTCAAAATTTCTAGATTCCCTCTAGACCTTGGACTGAGAACATAATTAATTTTCAAAAAAATATCTTTGATTAGAACCTACATACTTTTGGTAACATTTTTAAAAGGAAACAACGGTTATTAAATATGATTAGGGGTATACCATGTAAATTGGGATTAAATAAGAACCTCTTTCTTAGAAATTTGATGAAATCTTTATGGTCTGAATATCAGCAAATTTTAGACCAGAAAGAAATGTTTTGGGCCATTCACTATAAGTCTAATTGGCTTAGGTTAGGAGATAGGAACAAATTTTTTTTCCATAAAGTTGTTCTTATTCATAGGCAAAAAAATAGAATTTAAGCTCTGAGAGATAACTAGAATACCTGAGAATTTGACCCCCTCAAACTTCAATCCCTTGTTGTTAGTTACTTCGAGGGTATATATAGCGATCCTTATCCTAATAGTCCACCTCTCAACACTATCTCCCACTCCCCCTTTTAAGACTCTGAGATGGTAATTTTAAATGCTGACTTGACCATGCAGGAAATTAAATATGCTTTATCCAATATTGCAAACCTAAAATCTCCTGATCCTGATGGTATCCATGTCTTGTTTTATTCTTGCCCCTTTAATATTTGATTTTGTTTC